ATGTATTCAAACCACTTTCCACTTTCTCTTCAATCAGCTTCAGTGTAACTGGTCTTTGATGCACTTAGACTTGAGTTTTGTGCATGGTAATAGATACGGATCTATTTGCAATCTTCTACATGTCAGCATCCAGTTATGCCAGCACCATTTGTTAAAGATTCTTTTCTTTTTCCATTGTACCATTTTAGCTTCTTTGTAAAAAAAATCAGGTTTTCATTAATGTTAAGGTCTTCAATTCAATTCTGTGGATCCAGGAGTGTGTTTTTGTGCCAATAACAATCTGTTTTTATTACTATAGATATATAGTAGAGATTGAAGTCAGGGATAGTGATGCCTTGGAAGTTCCTTTGTTGTACAGGATTGTGTTAGCTATTCTGGGCTTTTCTTTTTCCATATGAAGTTGAGTATTATTCTTTTGACATCATTGAAGAATTGTTTTGAGCTTTTGATGGGGGATTGCACTGAATCTGTAGATTGCTTATGGTAAGATTGCCAATTTTTTCAATGTCTATCCTCCCTATCCAAGAGCATCTGAGATCTAATGGAGTATTACTCAGCTATAAGAATCAATGACATTATGAAGTATGCAGGTGAATGTATGTAACTAGAAAAAAGGCATGCTGAATGAGCTAAACCAGGTTCATAAATGCATATTTGGTGTAAGCAATGGATAACCAGACTACAATCCACAGCTCCCGAGAAGCTAGGTAACAAGGAGGACCCTAAGAGTGACACATGATTGCCCTGTGAAGAGAAATTAGATGAGATCTCCTGAGTAAAATGGGGTGATGAGGGCAGTAAAGGGGAGGGGAGGGTGGTTGAGAACACAAGGAAACAGGATGGTCAAGGGGACAGAGTAGAAGAGCAACAAAATAAAGAGAGCCACTATGGGGTTAAGAAGAAATCTGTTGCTTGGGTTATTTCCAAGAATCCACAAGGATAACCCCAGCTAGAACTCCTTGCAATAGTGGAGAATATGCCTGAACTGGCCTACCCTGTAATCAGATTGGTGAGTACCCCACCTAGCATCATACATCCTTCAGGCAATAATTAATGAAACCAGATGTAGAGATATGCAGTCAAGCTCCACAAATCCAGGAAATATATGAGCAAGGGAGGTTAAGGTCGTATGGAGGAATCTACAGAGATAACTGAAAATGCCTGTGGAAACTCATGAATTCTAGACTAACAGAAGTGGAGACTCCATGGGACCTAACTAGTCCCTCCATATATGGGAGACAGTTGTGAAGCTTTGACCATCTGTGAGAACCCTGGTAGTAGGAGCAGGATTTAACTCTTATACATGAAATAAATAATAGGAGCCCATTCCCTATGGTGTAATTCCATGTTCAGCCTTAATGCATGGCAGAGGGGCTTGGTCCTGTCACAAATTAATGTGGTGGAATTTGTTGACTCTTCATGGGAGCCCTTACACATGAGGAAGATTGTACAGGGGGTGAGCTTGGGGGAAGGTAAGGGTGGTGGGAGGATGGGTAGGAGTCAGAACTGTGTTTGGAATGTAAAATGAAATAAAAATAAATAAATTATAAAAGCTTCCATGTCAGTACCAACTTGATTTCTCCATGTTCTATGACTCGTGTGTGTGTGTGTGTGTGTGTGTGTGTGTGTGTGTGTGTGTGTGTGTGTTCAGCATTAGGATCTTACCATCATGTAATAGAGAGCAACAAAGAGCATTTTCAATAGCCTGCAATATTTTGCAGTCTATAGGATCTTATGCCCATCAACTCTAAAACAAAAATAAACTATTTGTCCAATTTCTATTTATTTGTTAGCCTAAGGTGTCTGCTGATTCCATTGCTGCCCTATTTTCTCCTCTCTCTCTCTCTCTCTCTCTCTCTCTCTCTCTCTCTCTCTCTCTCTCAGATACAAATATATCAGGGACGCACACACATTTGTATATATGAAATCTCTTACGATATTGTTTCCCTTTGTTTTTGTCAAAAGATCTTTAGGGTGATTTATCCCAATACATACTACATCCTCTATATGGGCCTCTGCCCTGACCCTCTATTTTAAGACTTCCTATCGAGGTAACCCAATCACAAAAAGACAAACATGATATGTACTCACTCATATGTGGATTTTAGACATAGAGTAAAGGATTACCAGCCTACAATCCATACTGCCAGAGAAGCTAGTAAACAAGGAGGACCCTAAGAGAGACATACATGGTCCCCTGGAGAAGGGGAAAGGGTCAAGATTCCCTGGGAAAATTGAGAGCATGGGAAGAGGGGGAGGGAGCTATGAGAATGAGAAGGGAAGAAGAGGAAGGATGCAGAGGTCATGAGGGAGCAGAAAGTTTGAGTCAGGGGAAGAATAAAAGAAAGGATATGTGACAGGTAGGGTTTTAGTTGGGGGGGTGGTAGGGGAGGACGGGAGGAAAAAGGAAACTGCAATTGTCATGTAAAACAATCTTGTTTCTAATTCAAATTTTAAAAATCTGAAAAAAGACTTCCTATCATATTATTAACTTTCAAGCTTTACTATCTGTGAATTCCATCTCATTTTCCTTGAAAGCATTCTTTTCCGTATGTCCAGTTCTTCATTCCCTGATCTACATGTATATTCCAGTTGAACTATACCCTTCTATAAATTCAAATACATTCATTTTTATCTTTCTGGATCTGTGTTATCACATACAATGGTTGGTTCCAGTCTCTATTTACCTATGAGTTTCAAATTTCATTTTTCTCAACAATGAATAACATTCATTTGTGTGAATGTAGCCCACCTTTATTATCCATTCATCAGATTGTGTGAATACCTAGGCTGTTTTCATTTGTAGTTGTGAATAGAAAAATGACAAAAATAAATAAAAATGTTTGATGGCTGGGGAACCAACATAGGACCAAACCAGTTCCCCTGAACGTGGGTATCAGTTAGGAGTACTAGGTAGTCTATGGGGCCTCTGGCAGTGGAACCAGGTTGTATCCCTAGTGCATGAATGGACTTCCAGAGCCCATTTCCCATGGAGGGATAGTCTCTTAGCCTAGATATACAGGGGAGTGCCAAGGCCCTGCCCCAAGTGACTTGGCAGATTTTAATTATCCCTCAAGGAAGACCTCACCCTCCCTGGGGAACTGATGGGTCATGGATGGTGGGTAGTTGGGAGGTATGGAGGGATGGGAGGGAGAGGAAATTGGAATTGATACGTAAAATAAGATTGTTTCTAATTTAAATAAAATTTATATATAATGTTGTAATCAATTATTTAAACACAGTTTTGTAACAATATGAGTGTTTCACCATTCTTCCTGAAAAATTAATTGTGATTGCTATTTCTGGCATATTTTAAATGTTTCATGTTGTAACTAGATTTTTACATGAACTTTCATTCTAAAGCATTGTAGATGTGCTTTTCTTATTTTTTAGTTTAAATCTCAAATCTCTAGTTACATTTTAAATTTTAACTTCTGCTGTATGCTACTTGATTGCCAGGTTTTATTTAAGCAAACAAGATTTTTCATTTATTTTGAATTTGTCTCTAAATATCATTTAAATATTACTGCTATCCTCTAAGCGTGTGTGTGTGTGTGTGTGTGTGTGTGTGTGTGTGTGTGTATTCCCAGATTAAACTCATTCATCATTGCACTCATTGATATGTTTATATGGGGATTACATTGAGAGATTTTTGTATGTTGAACCATCCCTGTATCTCTGTGATGAAGCCTACCTAATCATGGTGGATGTGGTTTTGATTCAGTTGGCAAATATTTTATTGAGTAGTTTTGCATCAATGTTCATGAGGGAAATTGGTCTAGAATTCTTTTTCTATGTTGAGCCATCATGTGGTTTGGGTGTCAGAGTGACTCTGGCCTCAAAAATGAATTTGCAATGTTCCTCTGTTTCAATTTTGTGGGATAATTTGAAGAGTGTTAGTATTAGCTCTTCTTTGAAGGATTGTTGGAATTCTGTGCTAAAACCATCTGGCCCAGGCTATTTTATGCTTGGGAGATTTTCATGACTGCTTTTATTTCCTTAGGGGTTACAATTGTTTTAAAATTGTTCATCTGATATTGATTCAACTTTGATAAGTAGTGTTTATTGAGGAAGTTCATTTATTTTCTTTTACATTTTCCTATTTTGTGGAGTACAGGTTTTTAAAATATAACTTAATAATTCTTAGGATTCTTTTGGTGACTGCTGTTATTTTTCCCCTTTATTTTTCTTAATTTGTTAATTTGGATATCCACTTTCTGCCTTTTAGTTAGTTTGGATAGGGTTTTGTCCATATTACTGTTTTTTTAAAGAGCCATATCTTTGTTCCATTAACTTTTTGTATTGTACTTTGTTTCTATTTCATTGATTTCATCCCTCAGTTTGATTATGTTATGCAGTCCACTCCTATTTGGTGCATTTGCTTCTTTTGTTGTAGTATTCTCAGGTGTGCTACTAAGTCTCAGGCATGAAATATCTCTTATTTATTTATTTATTTTGGTTTCTTTGAAACAGGATTTTTCTGTGTTACAGTCCTAGAACATGCTTTGCCGACCTTGCTGGGGTTGAACTTACTGATATCTGCCTGCCTCTGCCTCCCAAGTACTGGGATTAAACGTGTACACCACCACTGCCTGGAAAGATCTCTCTAATTTCTTTACAAGGGCCCTTAGTGCTATGAAATTACATTCGTTGTGTCCCACAAATGTGTGTGTTTTGTGCATTACTTTCCAGTGAATTCTAGGAAGTCTTAATTTCTTTATATGTTCTATGACCTGGTGGTGATACAGTAGAAAGTTGTTCAGTTTTCATCAGTTTGTAGGGTTTTTCTCATTTCTCTTGGTAAAATACAACTTTAATCCATCATGGTCTGATAAAGTAAGGTGGTTTATTGCAGTTTTCTTGTATCCATTGAGACTTGCTCTGTTATAAAATATATGGTCAGTTTTGGAGAACGTTTCATGAGTTCCTCAGTAGAAGGTATCTCCTTTTGTGTTTGGGTTAATTTTCTGTAGCTATTTGTGAGGTCCATTTGTGTCAAAATGTCTGTTCATTCCATTATTTCACTTCTCGGTTTTTCTTTGGATGACCTGTCCACTGATGAGAGTGGGATGTTGGAGTCTCCCTCAATTGATATGTGAGTTTCAATATATGCTGTAAACTTTGATAATGTTCCTGGACAAATGTGGGTGCCTTTGCATTTGAGGCATAGATATGTAGAATTGATATATCAACTTTGTGGATTTTCCCTTTGATGAGTATGATGAAAATGACCTCCATCTTTTTTAATAATTTTGATAGGAAGTCTACTTGGCTATATATTAGAATAGATACACCAGCTTGATTCTTTGGTTAATTTGCTTGGAAAATCTTTTTCCAATTCTTTGCTCCAAGGTAATGCCTATCAGCTGGAGTCTGTTGGGCCAGCTTTAGAGATTGTTAACTGTTGGTAGGCATTATCTGACCTAGTTCCCTAGAATAAGGCTTTTCTTGGGTTAAGCAGAAGTTTTTGGCCAAAGTTTCGAGACAGATTATGGAGCACAGGCAAAGGGGTGCAGTCTGGAGCTGTTGGATAGGCTTTAAGGAGCCATTGGGTGGTATCTTACCTGGAGTCCATTGGATTAAACCTGGACTCTGGTAAAGAAGCTGGAGTTGTGGGAGGGAATATGGAGTCCCAGAGAGAGGGCTCAGTCTGTGGCTAGTGTCCCTAGATCCAGCCAGCCTCTGGTAATACAGTTAGAGCTATTAGCTCAAATATGGAGTACTGGGGAGGAGGTTAACACTTTCTTAAACCGGCATAATTTCTAACCAGGTTCTAAATATTTATCCTTGTACTTACAGATAACTATATATTTCAGTCTTCATCAAAGAAATTTCTTTTTGTAATGGACAGAGAAAAATAAATTACCAGAATCCACAGCTTGGTGTTATAGAGAAAACAAGTGAAACAATACTCTTTCGATTCCTACATTTTTGTCTAGGAAATATCATCTTCTGTGAGATTATATAGTCTCAACCGGAAGGAAAGCTGTTAAAATGAATTCTTAATGGTATGGTAGCCGAAATAAGACTTGAGTAGTGACAGTGCTCATAGGTATACCCATGTTAATGAGGAAATACCATAAATCCCTAGCCCCTCTCCTACAGGCTGTGAATGACTGCCAAGAGAAGGATAACCAGTCAGGGATGAGTTATCCAATACCAATTAGTCAGTCCTAAAAACATATATAAATATAAATAGATATGAGTAATAATACATATTCACACACACACACACACACACACACACACACACACACACACACACACACACACACACATATATATGAGCAAAAGTAAATGGAATCAGCAGGGTGTAGTTGTACAGTTGTAACTATGTATACAAAAAACAGTAATTATTAAATTAAGTGTAATAGAGGTAATAGAGCAAAGTACAAGGAGAACTTACCACAGAAGAAGGGGAACTATAGGAAAAGGAGGACTATTTTGCTAATATCAGAGTGAGAAATAGCAAATTATATTGTAAGCATCAATAAATTCTAATGATAACATCCATTATTTTGGACAAGTAATAAATGATAGCAAAATAAAATTTTGATTTATTAAATTGGTCAATATATGAGCTACAAACTATAAACTTATTATATTATCTTTAAATAAAATCATGACTTGCAACCTTTTCTTAATGATTCCTTCTCATCTTTGTAGATTTAAGGTCAAGACCTACATGTTTTTTCTCTCCTTCCTCTTTGCCATTGAAGAGATCAACAGAAGCTCTCATATTTTACCCAACATAACTTTGGGATTAGATGTGTATAATGTTGCATTTATTGATGCAGACATAATATATCATTCGTTAAAGTGGATCTCAGGGATTGACACAATGATTCCTAACTACAACTGCAGGAAAGAGAGCAAGTCTGTAGTATTAATTACAGGACCAGCATGGACAGCATCTGCTCTGATTGGAGAATTGTTGGAGCTGTACAAAATTCCACAGGTGAAGTTAATTGATCATTCATTCACAGATAATGATATATTCATGGGGAAGATGAAAATGGAGACTGAATTTATACATTATGAAAAATTTATGTTTAAGCTTAATTACTTGGGATCTTCATTAGGAATGGAGTGGTGGCAGAGGTTGTAGAAGACATTGACTTTTCCAAATCTAAGTCTAATCATTAATATTCCAAAGCATTCTGAGGCAGAAGATAGTGACTATAACTATGAGATGAGCCAATTGTCCTTCCCAAAACATACAGTTATTGTTAAGGGCAAATCAGGTCTCATAATTGCACAAGACTTATCTTCACATTGTTTTTAACTGTCTTCTTCCCTTAGCTCACCATTGGGCGTTATGATCCCACCATGAGTAGCAATATCCACTTAACTTCTTTATATCACATAGCACCTAAAGATGCATATCTGGCCCAAGCTATGATCGCTTTAATACTTCATTTCCACTGGAATTGGGTGGGGCTGTATATCTCAGAAGATGAAAGAAGCATTCAGTTTTGGTATGACTTTAAAGCACAAATAGACAAGAACAGTATCTGTGCGGCCTTTATGGAAATAGTGCCAATCAGCAAATTGTCAGCATCTCCAGATTTTAAATTGGGCCATTATCATCAGATCTTGAAATCATCAGTTAATGTTATTATACTCTATATTGACTCTGATTCGCTGATCACCTTATTTTATCTGATAGACCATTCTCTAATGACACAAAAAGTCTGGGTCATGGCATCACCATATCATTCTTCCAGAATAAAACAGAGTATACTCTTTGACCCATTTCATGGTTCTCTTATGTTTTCACACCACCATAAGGAAATCTCAGGTTTTAGAAAATTCATTCATACTGTCAATCCCTCTAAATACCCAAATGACATTTACTTAGCTATATTCTGGTCTTACTTTTTTGATTGTTCATTTTCTGATTCTGACTGTACAATACTGGAGAACTGTCCACTCAATGCTTCCTTGGAAATGTTACCTTATCCAGTTATTGACATGGCCATAAATGAGGAGAGTTACAACCTATACAATGCTGTGTATGCTGTGGCTCATGTTCTTCATGATTTATTGCTTCATCAAGTAGAATTTCAGGGACTAGGAGGTATGAAGAGACTGGTGCATTTCCCTTGGAAGGTAATGGACATTTCTTTGGATGACACAAATGATAAGAATCACAGTTTTCTAAAGAAAATATTTATGGGAAAAGGGAATAGTTTAAGATGTGTTTTTATAGATACCTTAAAAAGAAAACTATTTTTAAACTTGAAGTAAGTCAAAACAAGATAGGTAATCTTATCATATTGAAGAACAAAATACCAGCATGAAAGAAAAAGGCATTTTAAGTCAATATTATCATTCAGGATTTTTTGTAGAATTTATAGGTGTGTGTGTGTGTGTGTGTGTGTGTGTGTGTGTGTGTGTGTATTAGACTACACCAATTCACATATAGGATTGGATTTTATTCACATAAAAATTACATGACAACTTGATAGAGTCATTTCTTTCAATACTATGTAGGTTCTGAGAATTGAATTCCTATTTTCCAGCATAGTGTCATCATCCACATTTCTTGTTCCATTTCCCCCTTCCTATGGTTTTGTCATTTAAGTAAGTTCAACTTCAGCAGAAAATATTTTCTATATAAAGATGATTTAATTAGAAATTCCTTAAGACATGACAATATACAAAATAACTTTATTAAAGCCTAAATGCTGTTGAGAAAACATGGCATATATATATATATATATATATATATATATATATATATATATGCTCTCTGAAACCTGTGATTTATGTATTAATAACTAATGAGCATACTTATGGCCTATGTACGTCAAGATTGTTTTTGAATATGTCAAGCTTTCACTACAGTATTGAGATCTGGATGAACAATAGTTAATCATAGTCTGATTCATAATCCATTTTGTTTCATGTTACTGAACTTGGGAATATTATGATATTTTAGTTTTTCATACTATTAATCTTGTTATACTTTATTTATTGCTGTGCTAATTCTGCACTGTGATATAATGAATAAAAGAGATGAAGGGCTTTTCCACATGTTGCTTTCTGTGTTAACCTGAGCCACTCATTTCTCCTAGATGCACTCCTTTCTAAGGAATATTCAGCCTGACCATTTGGATTCTAACCAAGTGATTTTGGATGAGAAAAGGAAGTATGTGGCAGAATATGATATCCTTAACTATTGCCATTTCCCAACGCATTTTGTACACATGTTGAAAATAGGAATGTTTTCTCCATTTGCTACACCTGGCCATCAATTAATATTGCATAGGGACATGATAGAGTGGCCTTTAGGATTTACAGAGGTTGGTGGAAGCTCTGTAATAATATTTTGAAATACAAACAATTAACTAGTATCACATTCCTGATTTTATTATTCTTGATTTCTGGTTGCTCTGTTATTGGCCTCCAAAGAACTTTTCTCAACTATAATATTTTTATAAATTTATGTAAACTATAATCTTATTTTACATATCAATCCCAGTTCCCTCTCCCTCCCATGCTGCCCACCAATTCCCCATCCCATCTCCCATCCACTCCCCAGGGAGGGGGAAGCCTTCCATGAGGGATCATAAAACTCGGTCAAGTCATTTGGTGCAGGGCCCAGCC